GCGGCAGTTGGCATCCTCGTGCTTCTATCTGTGGTGAGGTTTTGATTTTTAGTATTTCTGTAACAAACCCTGTCTTATGCTCTTGTGAATATGTGTATATACTTGGTATTTCAGGCTGGACAAACTTGAGTATGGTTATAAAGGAGTGATATGAAATTATGGTACAATGTGGTATCACTTGACAATGGATAATGTAACACTTTAGGTTCTTGTAGTGACCTGTGCGAATAAATTAAAATTACATTTAATTTAATTATCTAAGTGAAAGTGGTCAAAATTTGTAGAATGGTTACCTGAGAATGGACATTGCTATACATTTACACTTCGGTTAATATTGTGCTATTCTCAACAAAACAATTTAGTGAGTTGCTACGATGAAGTTAGACGGGAAACAAACGCTCTCCGAGCCTCTTTAAAATCGTTCCGTGATGGCCTTCCCTACGATCAGGAGACGCAGTTCCTATACGAACAGGAGACTTTTGGAAAACCAGGAATATTTACCCATCGCGTTGAACGAAAGCGACCGTCCTGGTTCCCCCTTAACCTTCTCGGCTTATCCTCATCTGAATCACCTTCCAAATAGGCCACCCCATTTGGTATGCCATCGTGAACTGTGGATTAGTAGCCATTTGAAATCTGCTATGCCCTTGTTCTATTTTATATCAGAAGCGCGCCCACTCGTTGCTTCTGGTGGTTCGTGGACAAATAAAGCTAGATTTTGTCCTTAGTGTTCTATCTTTATTCACCAAATAAGCGGCGATGTTTTTGCTTTGTGATCAAGTAAGTTACAACCAAAGGGTACCTATCCGGATATTCCTTTTGTTGATGTCAGTTATGGCATCCAACGAAGCGTAAAAGTACATCCCTTTGATATAGCACCGATAGTAACGCAGGTAATCTCATTACAAACAGAGTTTGCGGCTACATGTTAGCAAATTTGATGTGATGCAATCTCCTGTTCTTTTCGTTCGGACATCTTCGGTTTCGAGAACCACCGTGGACGTTTCACAAGTTTGTATTGCTTTTAATTTGAAAACCATTCGTCATTTAAATAAATAGCAATTAGAAGCAACGTCTTCGTCTTCCATGTGGTTTCGGATCTGTTATATTCTTTGCGCGATTAAACTAGGATGATTGGGCTGCAACTTTGTCGAAAATGTCACATCTGAGCACCGGATCATAGGTAAGTTTTCTAGCGCAGAACATTCCATCTCCTTAGGTATATGCAACAAGTCAAACGGCCCCAAAACTAAAAGATTCTATCGTTATGGTAGTAGGAGATCGGTGAATATTTGTGATGATAAAGGGGATGCTTATTGAGGTGTGTCATTAATTCAAAGGTAATAGCCTCGTTGACTGCATTGCCCATTTCAAGCCGTTTCTTAAACAACACACTCGATGCTTCTCAGCTGGCCGAAGTAAAATGAATGAACATCGATTATATCAACGGCTGCCTTCCTTCCAATTAGGTTATATAGCCTACTGT